CAGGCAAGATTCAGAAGATAGTCTTGGAAGCGATCCCCGGTGCTGCCAACTACCAGCGGTGGTGTCGCAATGCCGCTAGGGCGGCGGCGTCGGCTTCGCCGAATCGCGAGGCAGTTGCGAGGTGGATAGCGGAGCTTTTGACTTACAAGCGTAGATGCGAAGGCGTTGAGAGACTTCGGCCATTTTGTCCGGCGCTTCCCGGTGGTCGCAGCTGACCTCATGTCTACGGTCAACAAGATAGCTGCGCACTGGCAGTCATCACCACAGTTGCGCCACCTTGCGAGCAATATCCAAAGATTGGACATCTCCTCGCGGCGCGATGAAAGGTCGCGAGATGTCGTGCATCATTGCCGTGCATGTGACCATCCGCCAGGCCCACGATCAGGCGCATGCGTGCGCGGGTCTAATGGGGATTCAGATCCGGGGTGCGGGCGAGGAGGCGGATGCCGACCTGTTCCACTTTTTTTATGAGTGGGTGAGGACACGTAACGAGATGGAGGAATTTAATGGCTCCGACCGCCCCGCGATGCAGGGGCATTTCTACCGTCGAATGCAAAAGTGCCCCCGCATGCAGCCCACTCTTGTTTTTCATGACCATTGTAATGGCGAGTGCAGTATTGAAACAAAGACATGCGCATGGTTGCTATCGAGGGTGACTTTGCGCGGAGAATGCCGCGCAAAGTGCGGGGGGCGAGAAGAGCGAAGGAAGGCGGCGCCGGCAAGGGCGGGCCGAATCTACATGTGAGAGACGGTCGCCTCCATAATTCGGTGCCATGCAACGAGTTCCTTCAGGGTCCACGCCCGCGCGCTCGGGCGCAGCGTCAATGCCGGCGCCCGAAGGGAAGTGGGGGCCCCGCCGCTCCAGCACTGGCAGCGCCTGCCTAGTCGGACAAGGGCGGCGGCGAGGGCGGTGGAGAGAAGTAGAAGATAGGGAGAGGCGGTGGAATGGGCGGGGGCGGCGATCGCTGCCAGAGCCAAGAGCGCCCCTCCGATCGGTCCAAAGGCGGCGACAGGGTCCGCGATCGTTCCCAGGGACGCGCCTGTAGTGTTAATCTCCAAGAAGACAGACTGGCTTATGCCATGCATCCAGCCGTGGGGCCTGCCCCTTGTCTTCCGAGAAATGCCCCTGCCAGCGTGGCCAGGCTGCGCAGGGGGAGAAGCTCTCTCGCGAGAAGTACGAGGTACGCATGGGCAAGATAGGCACCCCCCCTGCGAGCGCAGCAAGGATCAGATGTCTGCCGCGGCGCAGAGTGCGAAGAAGAGCGCCGCGCCCGCGCGGGGCAGCGACAAGGGCGAGGCGAACGGGCGCGGCAAGAGCAAGGAGAAGTGATAATGATGGAGGCGCCTGGCTGGTCAGACCTGCCCATGCGGAAAGGTTTTTTTGGGCGGGGCCAAGCCCCTGGACACCCGTGACCAGAGATGCCGGCGTTCGGTGACTATGTCACCGGCGCCCGCCTGGGCGGGGCTGAGGCTGGCCGCTGCGCATTGCCCCGATGAGGAGTGTGCCCATTTGGGGCCCTCCCGCAGTTTCTTGCGCTGTATCCGGGTTCCCGGGTTCCAGGTGCCGCCATTAGGCAGGGCGCCAGCCCTCGGACGAGCTTATCACGGGGGTGGGTTGTACATGGGCGACCGCGTGATCGAAGGTGACGCAAGCAGATCGGCGAGCGTGGCGAAATGCACGCGGAGCTGCCGAAGCGGCACAGACCAGGAGGATGGGCGAGAAAGGTGGCTGGCCAGGCGTTAGATGCCAGTGTATTCGGTCGGGATGATCTGCGCCCGCTCTCGGAGACCCACGCGATCACATTTGAGCCCCGCATTCTCGTAATCAGGACATGTGGATAGAGCGCGACAGCGCGCTGGCGACCACATTCGTCCAAAGTGGAGTGACATGTGCCAGATTATGCGCCTTTTTGTGTCGGGGATGCAGCGCGATCGGGCATCGTGGGCGTTTGTATATGACCGTCGGTGCGCTGCGAGCAAAGTCTACATTGGTTTCGACGCGGCTTGCGTCGACTGGGTCAGGCATCTTCAAGAGCTGTGCCGCATGCCCATCGAGGACACTGGTGATGAGCTCGCTTCCACAAAGAAGAAAGGACGCGCTTTGCGCGCTCAATGTATGAGGCGATGGCTGCCTCCTATGCAGCAGCGATTGCCGTAATCGGATCGGGGCGCTCAGTTTTCTCGCGCGTGGGGCAACCGTGCAGCGCGGAACCCTCATCTCGGGGCCCGATGCACGTCGGCCGAATATCGTTTGTAGTGACATCGGTCTAGCCAAACGGGATCGCTTGGACTTAGGTCCGTGACCCAGCGGCGAGGGGGTGGAAAAGGCGCCGACACTGTCCGCGTGCAAGCAATGACGCGTAAGAAGTGGAAAAACGCTGCCGCTGCGGGATGACTACTCGCAGAGACAACGCGTTGCAAGGCAGAGCTGCATGTCGCCGCAGTCTCACGACAGTTTCTGCCTGGTTGCCCACGTTCCCGGATGGCGAGCTACCTGCGCCGCAGCATCTTTGCAAGCTCGAACAAGTAGAGGAGGTTGGCTCGCAGATGGATCAAGTTCCAGAACAACCACCTCCATGCGCCTGCGACAGGGAAGGAAGCAGCAGCTCACCCGGTGTAGCGGTGGCCGCACATCAGTAGGATGGTGATGAGTGCGGAAGGCCATGCCATCCTGCACCCTTTTGACTGGGACTTTACTCACCCAGCTGAGCGTCACTATGAAGAACCAAGCGTTGGATGGCCCGCACGGTGCGCGACGGCTCCAGGAGCAAAGGAAATCAAACCGCCCAAACGTCTGAAGGCCGCCGTGGAGAAGAATATCGTGGACTACTGGCCACGGGCAGAGTTCCGAAGGGCACCAATGCCGAAGACACGCGCAACGAGCACAAAGACGCCAGCCGACTATGTCAGAGCCAGTGCATCTTCTCGCGAGTCATCTGCCAAGGGGGCTAAGAGCCCGACTTCTGCGAAGCCCGAGGGCCGCGCTGCGGACAAGGGCAATGACGACGAGAACGTCGGCAAGGGGGCAAGGAGGCCATGCAGTCGCGCGCCAGATGGTCAACAAGAACCCAGGCGGCGCCGAACCGAGAACCAGACGCAGTGGGGCACGTCTTTTTGCGCCGTGGCTGCTTCTTCGAGTTCCACGCCTACTGCGAGGCCACCTGCAGCCCGCGACTTTCGGCATCGGGGCGCTCCAAGGCGCGCCGGGGCAGATGCCGCGCGGGGCCGCGCGGAGGAGGCCAGGGCGCCCCGCGCATGGCGCGCGTGCTCCGACACGGGGCGGAGCAGCAGACTACGGATTGTTCCCCCCCGCGGCGTGGAGGTGCCACAGATTGGTGGTCGTCGTTGAGCCGGGGCTCAGACATCTGGCACGATGGCAACTGGAGCCGAGGCGATCAAAGTTGGAGGTGCGGGGGAGAAAGCGGGGGGGGCGGCGGCTATGCCGAGAGTGCCCCTTCGAGACTCACAATCGCGGTTCGCATCTGTCTATGAGGGATGCAGTGGGCCGCCGTAGCGCAAGAGGTGCCATGCACCAACGTCTTAATGCATGGCGAGCCAGACAGAGGGAGTGTTGTCTGCCGGGCGCTACGTTGCAGGGCGTTTCTATGACGCAAATCGGGGCGTTGAGAAGCCGTTGACGTCCGTCCGCGCAAGTGGAGCTCGCCGGGCCGGCCGCGGGGGCGATTGATCTAGTCTTCCCCCCGTGCGCCTGCGCCATGCGCAGTTGCGTGCCCGCAGCTGTGCATGAGCTGCGATGGCAGCCGGGACCGCCTGCCCTGCGCGCGCCCGCCCCGCCGGCCAGGCCTTGTCGTCGTCGTGTCAACTGAAGCTTAGCGGACACTGTGCACGCGCGCCACCCTGGCAAGAATGGGTGCGCCACCTATCCGCAAGATGAGCTTGCGCAAAAGACTGTTACACTAAGGACACGAAGAACAACAGCAACACTATGAACTTGAACACATTGTGCTTTTCAGATGGGCTATGTAAGCTTCCCTCTTAACAGAGAGTTGGCAACATACTCACGGGCTGCTCCCATCGATGTAGCTGATCACCCACCCGTGCGTTTTGCTCAGCGCCAGCGTCCGCTTCCACTGCTCGCTCCCTTTCTCGCGCGGCTCCTTTTCTTTTGGCCTGCCTGCAGCATTTCGCGTTCCAACCAGAGCCTGCTGCCTCTGCTCGCCCTTCTCGCACGCGCTGGCTTCAACGCTGTAGCTAACGACGTCAGGCTCTAGCTTCGTCTCCGCGTCTCGGAGTCTAGCCGGCGCCTGCTGCCACTGCCCGTTGTTCTCGCGCGTTCTTTCGGCGTTGTAGCTGCGCACGTCGGGCTGTTTCTCTACTCTCGCCCGTTCTCGGAGCCAGGCCATAGTCTGCTGCCACTGCTCGGTTTTCTCGAACACGCTGACTTCACAAGTGTAGTTGGTGAAGGCGTCGGGCCCCTGCGCTTTGTTGCCGGCGTGCTGTACAGCATGTCGGTGCTCGCCAGGAAGAGGGGGAGGAGGGAGGGGGCGCGGGACAGGAGAGTACGAAAGGAGAGGAGGACATCCTGGCCCTCTGCATCAGAGTATTCACGCTGGCTGCCGCTCCTTCGTGGCCCATGGTTCCTGATGGCTCCCCGATGCAACGCCGTTCCGAAGTTCGCATCGGGAACGCCCAGGCTGGCCCGCGCAGGGAAGGGCCGCTCGGGCGCGGAACGGCTAGGCGGACGAGGAGGAAGAGGAGGAGGAGGAGGAGGAGGAGGAGGAGGAGGAGGAGGAGGAGGAGGAGGGGGAAGAGGAGGAGGAGGAGGAGGAGGAGGAGGAAGAGGAGGAGGAGGAGGACGACGACGACGACGACGAGGACGAGGACGAGGACGAGCTCGAGGACGAGGGCGACGACGAGGACGAGGAGAAGGAGGTGGGGGAGGACGAAGAGGAGGATGCCGAGGAGTACGAGGACAGCGCAACAAAAACATTCGCAAAACCGAATCCTGTAGACTCCGCTGTTTGCCGACTTCCGCGGAGGAGGCCTACACGGCCGCGGGTTCCAGCGGCGACGAGTACAAGGCTATGACCTCTGGCAGGACGGCGGTGGGCTGGACGGCGGAAGGCCCTTCCTCGTCACCGCCCAAACATCATAATCTGATATGTGCGTCGGCCACGTAAGCGTTTCCCGACATGTGCGGCCAGAAGGCGCACGCGGGCGCTTGCGCTTTCTGGCCATACGTTTCGGGAAACGAGCTACTACAATCTGCTGTTCTGAATGTTCGGGTCGGACGTGCGCTTCCAACATATACACATCGTACTAGTACGTCCGTGTGCGTTCCATTCCCCCCGCCGCCCCGCCCTCAGTGTCCCACTCTTGGGTCGGACGGAAGTCGAACGGTGAAAGTCGGCGGCAGGACCACGACCCAGATATTCGCGTGATGTCTACTTTTCCAAAACGGGTCCCCCCGACGTCCCAGGCCTTCCTCCGGAGCGGGTGTTCCATCTCGAGTAGTTTGCGGATGGCCCCGAGGCCTCCAGTGAGAGCCCCCAGAGGCCGAGCACGACCAGAAAAGTCCATCACTGTTTTCTAACACGTTGCAGGTATATACCTGCACGTCTTCGTCGTCCACATACCGGTATGTGGACGACGAAGACGACGACCAAGAAAACGTCATCGACAGCGGCGACGAAGACGATTTAAAAAGAAACAACTGCATACGCATCGCGCAGATTTCCTTGATCGGTGCCGGATTTTTTTCTGGCGCGCGGTGTGCGCCACAGAGGCGCCGTCAGGGGGGTCCAACGCCGATCCAAGAAGTCCGCGCGGAACTCTGACAGTTTATGTATGCCATTGTTATGTTTCTTTACAGAAGGGGGGTTTGGGAAAATGGGAGTTGCGACATCTTATGCGTGCAGCTGGTTTTGGCCTCGCCGCCGGGCCGCCTCTGGCGCCAGGAGGCGTCGTGGAGATCAGCTACGTTAGCCGAGGAATCACAATCGAGGGTCGGGGTACGTTTTGTAATGTATTAGGATGCCTTTTCAGGTTGCCTCTTGCTTATTTATTAGCGAGAACTCTTCAGAATTCACGCGATGCCTCATGATTCCGAATAGCTTCTTAGGCAGATTTCTGAGGATTGTTTCGGACACCAGAGGGTTCCTCAGGTTTCCGACAGATCATTCAGGATTCTTAATGTTGCCTAGCCAGACTCTTCAGAGTCCCCTCGGGCCCATGAAGATTTCTCGGATATTCCCAGGGCTTCCCCTGGATTCCTCAGGATTTCTGAGGATCCATGAGGATTCTGGATGGATTGGGGACTCCTGTGGACTCCTTTGTGTTCCGAGGGTTCCCTGCGTACTCCTGGGATCCATCGGGCCTCCAGAGATCTCGACGGTGCACTCCCGGCCTGCAGGGGGCACTCTCGGTCGCTGGCAGCGACCCTCGTGTTTGGAGTCTTCGTGAAGAGACCTGGGGGCTGATCAGCAGTGTTTCGGCGGCGATCGAGGGAGGGAGTTGAGAAGAAGAAGAAAAAGTTCTTTTCATAATGCGGCGGGACTTCTCAGAAGCCCTCGCAAAGGCCACTAAGACGATATGGAACGTTCCTGGGAGTTGCCGCAGGACATTCCGCTGTCAAAATCTGCCCGCCCCCGCCAGGAGAAGCAATCCCGCCGAAGGGGGCTGGCGCGATCGAAAACGAGGAGGACAAGTGTCGAGGGCTCGGGGTACACCTGCTGTTTCTTGTGTGTTGACCTGTCGCGAGCAGTTGAGAGCGAGCGGTCTTTAAGCGATGGCTGCTGCTGATGGAGTCCTAGACTAGGGCCCAGTCGCCCCTATCCCCCCAGCACCCACACCTGCAGCACCCTTCAGAAGGAGATTCTCTGGGATTCCCATGGATTTCAAAGGATTCCTAAGGAATCCAAGAGATTCCTATGGATACCCCGGGGTCCCAGGGATTCCCAGAGATTCCAGAGGTTTCCTGAGGATTCCTATTGGCTCATTGGTTACCATGGATTCGTTTGGATCCCCGGGGATCCCTAGGGGTTCCTATGTGTCCTAAGGGGATTCCTATGTGTCCCAAGGGGTTCCTATGTGTCCCAAGGGGGTTCCTATGTGTCCGCATGGATTCCCGAGGATTCTTGATGGTTCCTGAGATCCCATACCTTCCTAATATCTGAGGATTATTGAGAAGGCCTGGAGATTCCTTGTTTGATTCCGATTGATTCCCGTGCAATTTCCAGGGTTACTGAGGGTCACTGGATTCCCTTGTTTTCGGAGGTTCTCCCATGGATGTATCAGGATTCCTGTCTTGGATCCCTTTTTGTTCCTAAGGATCTCTTTGGATCCCTGAGGACCCCAAGGATTCCATGTTCCAATGGATTCCTAGGATTTGTGGGGTTTCGTAAGGATTTCCGAGCCTTCCTAGGAATTCTGCAGGATTCCTTCGGCTTCTTTCGGATTTCGAACTGAGTCCGACGGATTCCTAAACATTTGTCCGGATTTACGAGGATCCCTCTCGCCTTAACGCTGCGCGCATTCGTCTCAAGATTTTACGCCAGTTTCAATAACCCGCTGGGTCGAAGACGCACGAATGTTGTTCAGGCACGGTTTAGGGTTGTCAGGGTGCAGCAGGCTCGTCGTTTCGTGTTTTTGAAATCCCAGGAATGGTGCGCTGGCACGGTTTAGGAATGTAGGGGCGCAACAGTCATGTCGATCTTCAGCGAACGGTGTTTTGGCATGATTGTGATTCTCAGACGATTGTCTTCTAATGGGCCTCCTCCCGCAATGACGGGACATGCCTTGGCGGACCCCAGAAGAGGGAACATGGAGGGTGGGGATATTCGAGCATCTTTGCTGCATCTTGGGTTTACACTGGCCCTGTTCCTTCTCCTTTCCCCTCCACCCCTCCCTCCCCTCCATTTCCAGGATCGGCTTCGGCAGGGCCCCCGCGCGGCGCGCCCAGGCAGGCTGATCATCCTGCAGTGCCCAGCGGGTGAGGGAGGGTCACCAAGCACAAGGAGTGGCAAGAGCAGCAGCCGCACCAAGAGGATGCGGGGGAGGATGCTTTTGCTGACGATGATGGTGGTCGTGGTGGTGATGATGATGGTGATGGTGGTGATGGTGGTGATCGCGTTGGTGGCGGTGGTGATGATGCTGATGATGCCAGTAACGTCAATGATGGTGAAAGGTATGCTGTTGGTAATGGTGATGATGGTGGTGATGATGCTGATGGTGCTGCTGATGATGATGATGGTGGTGGTGGTGGTGACGGTGACGGTGATGGTGACGATGCTGTTGCTGGTGTTGATACTGATGCTGCTGATGGTGATGACAATGATGAAATTGATGATGCTGCTGCAGATGATGATTGAATTGATGCTGATATGGAAACTGGTACAGGTGGTGATGACGATGATGATGACGATGATTATGCTGATGGTGCTGATGATGCTGCTGGCGTTATTGTCGATTTTGGTGATGGCGCACATGATGAACACGATGCTGAAAATGATGATGATGATGATGATGATGATGATGATGATGATGATGATGTGGCCTGTGATGCCGATTTTGCTGACTACAAGGACTTCATGATGTGAATGATGATGGTGATGCTGATGAGGATGATGCTGCTGATGTTGTTGATGATGCTGTTGATGATGCTGCTGATGATGGTGATGATGCTGGCGATGATGATGACGATGATGATAATGCTGATGTTGTGAATCATGGCGTCATGTAATCTAATGATGATGGTAAGGACAGTTCCGATGGTGATGATGCTGTTGCTGACGATGCTGTTGTGATGATCATGCTAATGATGATGATGATGATGATGATGTTGATGATGTTGATGATGTTGTTGATTAATATGATGATTATCATGGTGATGCTAATGCCGATTATGATGATGCTGCTGATGCTGCTGCTGCTGACGATGCGGATGAGGATGGTGACGAGGAGGAGGATGATGAGGGTGAGGATGAGGATGAGGCTGATGATGCTGGTTGTGGTGGTGATGATGGTGAGGAGGAGGAACAGCTAGAGGAGGTGGAGGAGGACGAGTGGGAAGAGGAGGAGAAGGAAGAGGAAGAGGGGGGGATGAGGAGGATGAGGTGGATGAGGAAGTTGATGAAGGTGAGGGCTGGGAGGATGAGCAGCAGCAACAGCTTTTCCAGCATTCGCAATAACAGGACGGGTGGGTGGAAGCGGAACCGGGTTCTCTCGTTCTCTTTTTGTGTGCGAGTGTGTGTGTGTGTGTGAGTGTGTGTTCGAGCGTGCGCGCGTGCGTGCGTGCATGCGCGCGCGCGTGTGTATATCGGAGGTGAGGGGGTGAGATCGAAGTGGAACGGAGAGCCCCCCTACCGGGAAATCGGTTTCGGTTTCGTGTTCGTGCGTGCCGTGCGTGCGGGCGAGGCGAAGCTGCGTGGGCGGGCGAGAAGAAAGTCTCCTGTGGCTGAGGCGCGGCCGGACCAAAAGTCTCCCTTTCGGCAACCGGTGCCGCGCGGTGTTCCGCCGGTGCTCCGCTGTGGCTGAGGCGCGGCCAGACCAAAAGTCTCCCTTCCGGCGTCCGGTGCCGCGCGGTGTCCCGCCAGTGTCCCGCCGGCGTCCCGTCGGTGTCCCGATGATGATGATGATGATGATGATGATGATGATGATGATGATGATGATGATGATGATGATGATGTCGATGATGATGATGATGATGATGATGATGATGATGATGATGATGATGATGATGATGTCGATGATGTTGTTGATGATGATAATGGTGATGTGATGAGAATGGTGTCTTGATGATGATGATGTTGACGATGTTGATGATGATGGTGATGGTGATGATGATGATGATGGTGCCCCGATGATGATGTTGATGATGATGTTGCTGATGATGATTGTGTCCCGATGATGATGATGATGATGATGATGATGATGATGATGTCGGTGATGATGATGATGTTGATGGTGATGGTCTGATGACGAGATGATGATAATGAAGATGATGATGGTGATCCGATGATGATGATGTTGATGATGATAATGAGGTTGATGATGATGCTGTTGTTGATGATGATGATGATGATGGTGTCCCGATCATGATGGTGTTGATGCTGATGATGATGATGACGATGATGGTGTCCCAATCATGATGATGATGTTGATGATGAGGATGATGATGAGGTGATGATGGTGACTTTGATTATGGTGGCCCGATGATGGTGATGATGAATTTGATGATGGTGCTGATGTTGATGATGATGGTGTCTCGATGATGGTGATAATGATGATGATGGTGATGATGATGGTTACGATGATGGTGGTGTCCCGATGATGATGATGAGGTTGATGATGATGCTGTTGATGATGACGACCTTGCTGATGATGATGGTGTCCCGATGATGATGATGTTGATGTTTTTCATGATGATGGTGATGATGATGATATGATGATGATGGTGGTGTTCCGATGATGATGATGATGATGATGATGATGATGATGATGATGATGATGATGATGATGATGATGATGGGGTCCCGATGAGGATGATGTTGATGATGATCGTGACGATGATGGTGTTCCGATGATGATGGTGATAATGATGATGTTGATGGTGATGTTGATGAGGTGATGATTCTGATGATGGTGCCTCGATGGTGATGATGTTGATGACGTTGATGACGATGATGTTGATGATGATGCTGATGATGATTATGATGATGATGATGATGATGATGACGTTGATTGTGAGAACGATTGTGAGATCGATCGTGATATCGATCGTGAGATCGATAGTGAGACCGAATGTGAGATCGATTGTGAGGTCAATAATGAGATCGATGGTGTGATCGAGTGTGAGATCGATAGTCAGATCGATTGTGAGAACGATCGAGTGAAATAGATCGAGTGAGATCGATTGTGAGATCGATCGAGTCAGATCGATCGAGCGAGACCGATAGTGAGATCAATAATGAGATCGATAGTGCGACCGATCGAGTGAGACGTTGGTTCCTCCCCCCCCCGAACCTCCTTATCACCCGAAGGGTGGTCGTATAGGTATGTATATATGTATTACTATGTGTGTGTGAGGGGGAGAGTGCAGACTGGCTTCCATTCAGAGCGTTTGGTGCAAGCAGCGCCACCGTGGCTCGTCTTGTTTATCGCGGCAGTGGTGTATGCGAGGGGAGGGGTGGGGTAGGGAGTTAGCGATGGGGATGGAAGAGTGTGGGATGAGATTGGGAGGGATTGGGGAAGGGAGGGGAGTGGAGAAGGGGGTCGGGCAGGCAGCGAGGGGGTGGCAGGGGAGGAGAGGAGGGCTGGGAGGGCTGGGAGTTGGAGGCAGGGGAATGGGAGGACGGGAGAGCGCGAGGCAACGGCAGGGGGCGGGATACTCAGGCGCGAGGAGGTGAGGGTGGACGGGCTAGGGAGGCAGGAGGAACCAAGGATGAGAGGAGCGGGCGGGGTGGCATGGCGAGGGCGGGACTGGGGAGCCGAGGATCGGGCAGGGCAAGGGTGAAGGGCCAAAACCAGGGCCGAGGGGAGGAAGCCGCTGCGCAACGACCCGGGGCCCCGAGGGCTCGAGATCCCGTCTCGAGCCTCCGCCTCCCAGACCTCCTCCCCCTCCCCCTCCTCCTCCTCGTCCTCCTCCTCGTCCCATTCTTCCTCCTCCTCCGTCTCCTCCTCCTCCTCCTCGCCCTCCGTCTCCCCCTCCGTCCTCTTCCTCCTTCTCCTCTGGCCCCTCCCCTTCCCCCAGGGGAGCCGGCCATTCCCTATTTCCATCTGGGTTGTCGGTTCTTGGACGGCCTCGGGGGTCTAGACTTGGCCTCCCGACGCCGAGCGCTCCCTCAAGTCGGTCTCCAGATGCCTAGGGAGGGAGGGAGGGAGGGAGGAGGAGGAGGAGGAGGTCGAGCAGCGCCTGCGACATGTCGCATAATTCCCCCTTTCCACCCGCATCCTCTGCGCATGGTGTTGGGATCGTTCTGAGCCCAGGTATCTGGCAAAAACGATCCAGAACCGGTTCAGAGAGTACGTGCGGAGGTTGGTTCAGGCAGCCACCAGCAGCGACACGCCGTCCCCTCCGCGGCAGCGCTCGCCTCTGGAGGCCTCTCGAGGAACCCTCGCGGTGCAGCACAGCGCAAGTTTCGCCGCCTCAGAGCTTCTTCGGCGTGCCCAGGGAGGAAGGCAGAGGCCCAGTCCTTCAACGCACTGAGAAGCTCGCCGTCTCGGGCCTCGGGGGGCACACGCCTGGCTGGGGGACCGTCAGATAATTTTTCGCAACGAAAGGTTGGCCCCGGGGAGAGGGTCGGGACTTCCGGGGACCCCGCACATGGAGAGAAGCCAGGCATCGGATTTTTTGGGGGGTGCTGGCCTTCTCAGAGGGCTTAGAAGGCTTCTGGCCTTCCGAGAAGTTCTCTGAGCCCTCTCCGATGCCAAAGAGGGCTCCTCAGAAGGCCAGAGGGCTTCTGTGAAGCCGCGCCGCGTTCTGAGAAGGCCTGCCCGTCTCGGACGCCAGATTTTTTTTTGTTTTTTTTTTTTGTGTGTGTGTGTGTGTGTGTGTGTAGTAACTCGGCTCTCCGGTGGCCGTCCGGGACGATTCGGGCACCCCAGCAGCGCTCTCGGCGAGGCGCAGCTGCTGGAACGTATCCCGAGGCTGAAAAAACCGCCCAGAACTACCGGCGCCGATCCCGAGGCTGGAACTCCCTCTCCTCACTTCCCCTCCCCAGTGCGCGGCCGATCAGAGGTACGACGGGCACACCCACGACCCGTCGTGGGGTGCCACCATGACGGAGCCGCTGGCCCTGGGCCGGCAGTGCCCTCCTCCTCCTCCTCCTCCTCCTCCTCCTCCTCTTCCTCCTCATCATCTTCATTCCTCCTCCCCCCTCATTCCTCCGTTGCCATTTTGGCTCAAGCCTTGCAAGGGGGAGGTCCACGAGTCCGCGCGCTTCGCTTCCTCTCCCACGCTTAGGATAGCTGCGTGGGGCTGCCCGCACTTGTGGCGGCTTGCGGAGTTGCGCAAGGCTGAGATGCAGATGTTCGCTGCTTCGGCTGCCCGTGCTGCACGAAGACGGCGTCAGGCTGCTGCCGAGGCCGCCATTTGTGTCTTGGCAGGCCCACTTGGTGCTCCAGGTTCATGGGCCGATCGTGAAGTGGCGACGCGGCCGGCACTTCGGCTGGCTCTGGAGGGCCGCCTCGTCCCTGGACGCGCCCGACGGCGCAGGAACGCGGCGCTTCATGCATCGTGTGTCCACGCGGCGGGCTTCGCGAGGGCCTCCAAGACCCGCCTTTCATGGGCTGCGCGATGTGGGGCATGTGGCCGAGCTTGAGGCGACCCTTCTGGCTGCTGCGGACCAAGAAGATGAAACACATCCTTGAAAGAAGCTTGACTGTCTTCGTCACCGACGAGAGCTACCTGATGACGCCAATTGTGGTTATCCTGGGGCTCATGTTCATGTGCTACCTGACGCTGACGATCATGTGCTTCCAAAGCATCGAGATCTTCCTGATGGAGGTGATCGTGAGCGGCCTGCTCATCACGAGCCCCTCTACGGTGGTTGTCCTGTTCATCCCGACGTTCGTGCTCCACCACCTTCTGAGGAAGAGGCCCTTGGCTTACCTGATCCCCGATGGTCTTCTTGTGAACTTCCTAGACAGTGTGATCTTCGAGGTCTTTCTGACGTTGCAACTTGTGGACGTCCTGTGGCTCCTGTGCTACCTGACCGAGAAGGTCCTGTGCTTCCAGACCATCGTGATCTTCCTCACTGAGGCGATCCTGCGCTGCCTGCTCTTCATGAGTTTCTGGACACTGGTGACCCGTGGTCTTGCGCATCCCGATGGTGGTGCTGTTCCGCCTCATGTCGAAGATGATCCTGGGCTACCTGTTCTTCGGGAGCTTTGCGGACGCCCAGCGGTCACCAGTCGTAGTTGGTGGGCCGCTCGCCAGGCAGTTGCCCTTGCTTTGGCTCACCCCGTTCGACCTCCAGGCGAAGACCGCGGCCGCTGCTGGTCTTCCGCCCGAGCCCTGTGAACCTGGGCACGTTGCTGCACAAGGTGCGGACGGCGCGGAGCCTCGTGCTGAGCCTCTCCTCAGGTTTGCACCGAACTCGTATCGTCCACCCGAGTGGGCTGGCGGCGGCGGCTTCGAGAAGTATCGCCATAAGCGGACGGTCCGAGCCTGCGCGCCCGTGCCCGCTGAGCTTACTGCAGTGACTGATGGCTCTCGAGGTTTTCGGTCCTGTTTCTTCGCTCGGTCCCTTCGGTCGGCTTCGTTCTGGGTCCTGGGTCTCAATGGCTCATCCTGTGTTTTCGGTCCTTTTCGGGCGCTGTCGTTTTTCGTTCGGCATTCTTTGAAGGGAGCTGTGGCTAGACGTCAGCCCACGTCCAAATACAAAACCGCCTCCTCCTCCTCGGGTCCTCCTTCCCTTCCCTCTAACTTCTGTCTCCGCATGCCTCCCTCTTTCCCCCCCTCCTTCGCGCCCTAGACGCCCTCCTCTTCCTGCGCACCTTTCATCCCCCGTCCTTCCCAATCCCCCATCTCTCGAAGAAGAGAAACTTGAAGCTCCGCGCTGGTTTCTTGGATCTGCGCTGGACCCCCGTCCCTGACGCGCGGACCGCGCAAGGGGCGGCGCCAAAGGCGCCGCCAGGGGGGCCCCGGCGCAGATCCAAGAAATCCGTGCGGAGCTCCAGAAGTTTGGGGTTATACAGTTTTTCGTACTCTGATTTCTCTCCAGCGGCTCCAGCGTCGTCCCATCTCTTTGTCTCGCAGCAACCTCTGTTGCCCCCGATCCAAACGCACCCGCGCCGCCCGCTTTCGTCGCGCCCGGGCCCCCTCAGTACCACCGGGGGACCTTGTCCGAGGGAAAGAGGGGGGGAGGAGGGAGGCCACCCGCCTTCGCAAAAAACGGGGTCATTTTCGCCGACATTGGCGCGTAAGCTCCCCGCGCAAGGCGTAAGCCGCCGCGTAAGGTTGCTGCGTCATCTCGCGCATCTCGCGTAAGACTCGTTTTTGATCGTCGCCCATCTGAGGAAAGGGTGAGGTAAGCAGAGTGGCCGCGCCTCTCAGTATATCAAGTAGGAGGTACATGGGACGGCGTACCTTGAGCCTAGCGCAGTACATTGCGCACCTTGTCCGGTGCACTGAAGACGTCGTACACTCCTCCAGTGATCGGTAGCCTGAATCAGTATCGAATACCTGTGAACCGGGCTTTCCACGCGCACGCATATGATGTTCGCAGTGAATCCGTAGCATGCGTTTGCTGTGGTTCCCCGATGGGGATGGACGACCGTAGTTGTTGACGAAGTCCTGCGTGATCGGGTCTCCCTGGGAGTCCAGCATGTCCACGTAGTGCTTGCTGCCTCCTGTGACTGTGGGCTGGTAGTGGCGTTTCGTACTCTTGTCCAAGGCCGTATCATCGAAGTTGTAGTTCATGTAGTAGCTCTTCGTGTGCGTGTACTGGTCTGGGTCAATCTCGTACTGTTGCCGGTATCGCTTGACAAGAATTGCCGTTTAAGCTTTCAATGTGCGGGGAGTATGGTTGACTCTGCACCAGGATGTAGTTTCCCGAAATGGCTGGTGGTCCTTCCACTCGGGCATCTACGGTAACTTCACCACTTGTCTCGTATGAGCATTTGGCCTTGTAGGTGTTGATCCGTTTGTTGTACAGGTCCTTGAAGTAGTGGCGCAGGGCCGCCTTGATGTCGCGGATCGTAAAGTATTGCATTCCATCTTCGGCAATAGTAACCCTTGTCATAAGTTGCATCCATTGTTTGGATACGGGGGATCTCGGAGCCATATACTTTCCTCCGGAAGTAGGTCTCTTCCCCTGGCATATCATCGGTGCGTTTGTAGTTCACATCAGCCACGATGTCTGTACGAGTATGTATGTAGCAGCTTTGAGCCGATAGCTTGTACGAGAATGTAACAGTCTGAGTAGGGCAATGTGCAGGTTGGCGTGTGGGTGTAATACAGTAGTGGTTGTTGCCCATAGCGTTGTCCTGTGGTATCAATTTCATGAATGCCGCGGTTCGGTCCGGTCCGGTTCGGTTCGATGTGCGACTGGTTCGCGTCGCAAACCGGTTCGGTTCGACCCGTTCGGTTCTTTGTCGTAGACCAGTTTGGTTCGACCGGTTCGGTTCGGCCGGTTCGGTTCGACCGGTTCGGTTTTATGTGTTCCGATCGGTCCGGTTCGGCCGGTTCGGTTCGGTTGGTTCGGCCGGTTCGAATTTATGCAGAGGCGATTTCAGTCAGCCCGATTTCGATTCGCTTCGATTCCAGGCCGTCCCGATCGGCAGCCCCGACGGGGATGGGGACAGTGGGGGCGAGGGAGGAGGAGGAGGAAGATGAGGAAGAGGAAGAGGAGGAGGAGGAGGAGGAGAAGGAGGATGAGGAGGAGGAGGAGGGGGAGGAGGAGGAGGAGGAGGATGACGAGGACGAGGACGAGGACGAGGCCGGCCCGTTCGGCGTCTCGCGCGCTGCCCCACGACCACGACCACGACCACGACCACGAGCACCACGACGACGAGCACGACCACGACCACGACCACGACCACGACCACGACCACGACCACGACCACGAGCACGAGCACCACCACGACGACGGACGGGGGACCACGACGACGGACGGGGGGGCGGGGGGGGGGGTCCAGACCAGGGGGGGGGTCCGCACCCCTGGGGTCCGGACCGGGGGGGTCCGGACCGGGGAGGTCCGAACCGGGGTGGTCCGGACCGGGGGGGTCCGGACCGGGGGCGTCCGGACCGCGGACCGGGGGGGTCCGGACCCCCGGGGGTCCGGACCAGGGGGGTTCGGACCGGGGGGGTCCGTTCCGCCGGTCCAGTCCGGTTCGGCCGGTTCGGTTCCGCCTGGTTGGCCGGTTCGGTTCGGCCGGTTCGGTTTCCGCCGGTTCGGTTCGGCCGGTTCGGTTCGCACAGCGGGCCGGTTCGGTTCGGCCGGTTCGGTTTGGCCGGCCGCTTCGGTTCGGCCGTTTCGGTTCCAGACCCAGTTCTCGGTTCTCGGTTCGGTTCGCGGCCATCATGCAATTTCATGCACAGGGAACATCCGAGTATGCGTAACGACGTTTGCATGCAGCGATTGTCTTGCGGTATCGAATGCACGTGCAGGTGACAAGCGAAGTACTATATGATGCTTGGTATGAGGATAGGGCGAGGAGGGAATTATGATGAGGTAGTCATTTTTGCCCAGGTAGCTGGCGCTTGTTAGATGCCTCGGCAGGCCTGGTGCCGTGGTAGACTTGGTAGGCCTACTCCGTGCGCCGGCGTTTTTTTGCGCCCCTGCGGCCGACGCGCCAGGTGGTCCCCGATGGCCTCGCCCCCTGTTGTTCATACCCTCTGGCTTGATGTCCTCCTCGAACGGGTAGTACGTCACGTGCTTCGTGCCGTGTTTCGTCCTTTGGTATTTCTGTCGGTATGTATGGTTTTTCTTTTCTGTTGTGTATCTCGAGCGGCGGTATATCTTTGCCAAGTATTTCAACTAAGTACATCGGCTTTGAAGCTGATTTTTATAGTTGCGCATGTACTCAATTAGGCGATTGTCTCTGATGCGGTAGTGCCGTCCAAGCGTCCTGTACATGCTGCGAAAGAACGAGCATATTTTTGGAGGGTATTCCTTGAGAGGCGCGCTGTGCAAATTGCCGGTACGTTTGATATCCAGGGCTGCTAAATGTCCTCGCCGTTGATTGCAACGTCTTTGGGCTTCCTATTGCGCGAGTACGTCGGGTGCCCTGGGTAGGTTTACCCATTGTATCGTAGCAGGTATTCTGCTGTCGCATCC